AGACCTGTTTAGGGAGTAGATGGTGGGGGTTGAGGGCCTTGCTCAGGGGCCCAGAGTGAAGCAAATGAGAGTGGAGGCAGGTGAGGGTGTTTCACCCTTTCCACCCACATTTTGATGTTGACGGTCCTGGGAGTTGATCCTGCGACTTTCCATCCACAGGCCCATCTTCTCTAACCCGTATGACAGTACTGACGTGTATAGAGCTGCACATCAGTTTGAATAGGGTTTTAATGCTCTGTTTTCTGTTGGTTCAATCACAGAATCCTGGGATGTAAGTGTGAGCCACCTGGCAAACCCTCGCTGACTGGTTAAAAAGAATGATATTAATGTCACACAGACTTCAGGGATTATGGGACGATGAAACGGATGGTGGAACATGGGACTACGCTCCATTTACCCCATCTTAGCTGTACCCTCGTACACAGGGTATCAATGTTACAGTCCTCTTTGACCCCATTCACATTGTGTTTTCACAGCAAATCTTTTAAAACAGTAAACTCGTACTGTCTTCTTCAATTACTTAACTTACAGGACATTTCATCGTATAATGTATATTTTATCTTAAATCTAATGATCACTTCCTGTATCAATGTGACACCTTGTTATTTCAGTGCTTGAAAAGCAAACTGTCGCTGTTTCCCTTGTAATGTTTTAAGTACTCATTTCACTTTTTAAAACCCCTTTTTCAGGCTGTTTCATGGTACTGAGAAGAAAACTATTGTTTACTGTCTGTATTACAGTAAATGTGACTTTTATTTAATTATCAACGTAATGCCACGGGATCAATACATCAGTTGTGCTTACAAAAATCTGCCTTTAATTAAGCAATCACTTAAATTGTGTGATAGCTGATAGCACATGAAACATCCTGCTGTAAAAACTGAAGTCAGAGTCAAAAAACCACAAAGTCTGAATGTAATCTGGCTTTGATAGCGCATCTTGAAATGCTTAAGAACAAATTTGCCATCTTTGCCAAATCTTCCAGGTCATGGTGCAGTGATAAATCCCTAAGGGAGAACAAAACCTTTTTGCAGAAGTTGTTTCCGTGATCTTCTAAATTTGTGTATGGCAACTTAATTGCGTCTGAGCGCTAAACCCATGTTGTGTTTTACCACTTTGGTGACTCCATGCTGGCAGACTCCTCGCTTCTCTGCTCTGGTGGGGGAAAGCCTTTTTATTTGTGGTTTCTGACTCTTTATTCTAAGCTACTCATAAAGCATCAAGATGAGTGATATCATGTGGACTTCATCAACAAGGGAGCTTTTTGTTTGACTTTATAGCCATTTAAATAGAGAGATTAAAGACAATGACACACAGGGAAGGTTAGACAGCAAATGTAACTGACAATTTAGCAACTTCTCATTTTTTTTCATACTGGTTTCTTTACACGGAGCACTTGGGTCCTCACATTTACAGTCTTCAAACAGTGCTGCGTACACGCTTGTACTTTTTTTAGTTACTCAAGTTGCCCAGGATAAAATGCTCACTTTCTTTATTCAGCCAGTAAACTTGAAAGAGTACAGTTGGCAGCGAAAATTATCAATACATGGGTAACCAGGAAGAATAGGCCTAATAAAAAGATGTACTGGACGCCAAAAGGGAAGTGAGTTTCAGACATCATTGAAAACGTATCCACACCAGTCCCTCCAATGAACAATATTTTTACACCCACGACACTGAAGTTACTTTTATGTTTCCACAAAGTCTTTGAAAGACACTTTGTCTAGCTAAAAAAAATAATAATAAATCATGTGTAAAAAGCACATTTATATTTTAAAAAGTCATATTAAAAATATATTTACTTTTTTTTTAAATCATACAGTCTCCATTTTTTGTTTGAAGGGAGTTAAATAATTTTATACAAGTTGAAGTGTGAGGATAATACATAAGAGAGAAAAATAAGTGGTTACTGATGTGAACAATTTAATTACAGAACTTGAGAAATTATTGTCTGTAATTATATCAAGACTCATGTGTAGCCTGGTTACATATGGTGCTGATACATATCAAGTGTGAAACATTAAACGGAGGATAAGCACTGGTGAGGTGATGATAAATCAATGTACATCTGCACTGAACAGATGTAGAGTTTGGGAGTAAATATATGTATCGCTTCATTATCTTTTTGTACAGGTAAAATCTGATCTGCTTAATAATTAAAAAGGTCAGCTGGTTTACGTCTATGTTCAGGCAAATCAATTATAAAAATAAATATATATATATTTTGTACAGTGGATGCCTACAGCTCAGAAGGAGAAGTGCTGCAGCACTGGCAACAACAAATACTGAAAATGTCCTCAAAGCACAGCAGATCTAGTACAGAAATTTACTAGCTTTTTTTTTTTTTTATGCAATAACAGAGGCGAGAGAAAGTGGACCTATAGGAAGGTCGCCCGTTCAACTCCCCACACCGACAACATTAAAATGTGGGTGGAAAAGGGGAAACATCCACACCTGCCTCCGCCCTCATTTGCCCTGGGTCCTTGAGCAAGGCCCTTAACCCCCACCTTATGCTCCCCCAGGCCCCCTAGATGGCAGCTCTCTGCTCCACACAGAGGGCTGTGGTAGCTTGGTGGTCTGCGGTTGTGACAGGAAGAACATCTGGTGCTCAAGTCTTTGTGCGAGTTGGTTGTGGCGACCCTTGAAGAAGGGAGCAGCTGAAAGATTCTTCATCTGTCAGTTTTGTATGCTATTTAAAAAATGTGAGTCGTGTTCTCTGAAAGTATATGCAGAATAAAAAAACAAGTTCTGTTTAAGCAAAATAAAGTAGCAACCATTGTTATTAGGCTCTTAATAAAGAGTCTTAATAATTAACACCAGTCCTTGCTTTATATTGCATTGAATCTCAATGTGTTGACTCTTTGAATTGCATTTTACTGATTAAAGTCTGGATCCAATGAGTTTTTGCATCTTTAGTGAACTTTACTAACCCCATATAACACACAATCATAATAAACAGAAATCACCAGATTATTAGATAAAAGCATCCAAGTGCACTTTTTGTTTTGATCATTGTACATCAGCAGTTCCTGCAAAGTAGAAACTGCAGGCAATAACCTCCTGTTAGAACTAAAAGATTACAAATAAAACTAAATTGTACAATCTTTATGATCATCACCTCAAGCTGAAACTTTAAAATGAGGCAAAAGTTGCTCATTGAGCGTCGCTCCACGTGTGAACGCATTTCCTGCGCTTCAGAGGGCGCATGCGAAGTGGTTGCGGGCGTCCTTATCTGGAAGGATCTCTATCATGCTTTAAGGAGGCACTTGACCTCCCTCGGTGCTTTCCGACTCTGAGTGACGCAAAAAAAGTGGGCTGGCAGAGCGCTGAGCAGCAGTTTAGAGGACTATCATTGCGCACCGAAACATCAGCAGACTTCATTGGGGAAGCCCATCTGTCGGATGAAGCGCGTCGTTGGAGACACCGGTAAATACGCGGATGTATCTCGGAAGTGCCGACTTTCCGTCCAACTTGTAGCAAACAGTCACTCTGTGGGTCAGTAAGTTGGAGGCTTGATGAAACTTTTGCTGAATGAGGATCGCACCGCTGGCTGCCACATCTGGACTCTCTTTCTGCGCTGCCGGAGCTGTCAAGTTCAGCGCAAACTTTTAACAGGACTTCAGCTGACTGCAAGCAGTTTTGAATTGCTTCTCTGAACGTGGAGGAGTTGTCTTGGAACTAGTTTGAATCACACATCTCCTCTTCAAACTTTTTTTCAAACAGTTTTTATTTTATTTTTATCTATAATCGTCGCGCAAAAATGGAGCGCTCAGTCCTCAGACTGACATGTGTCCTTGTGGTTATATGTCTCTTGGATAAAAGGTGAGTTGAAGAACAAAACTCATGTTGAGCTTATCTGAAAATATATAAATGAATGCATATTTTAAACTAACTGTCCACTTTGCGCTATGAAATCATTTATTTTAGGACAACTGTTCCAGAACATGACAAAACTATTAGCAACTTTTTCACAAGTCATTCATTCATACATGTTGAAATATTCAAATAAGTATCTGTTGGGTATTAAAACAAACACACCATAGCATAATATATTAAATATGATTTCAATTTTATGTCTAAGGAATGACTTTATTTGCAAAGTTCTCTGAGTGTGGAATTCACAACAGGTTGCTAATGTAACTGGAAACAAGGGGAAATTGTGCATGATTGTGCAACATTATTTAAAATGTGTGCAAGAGATTAATATTTTACATCGTAGCAAGCAATATTTAAATTTAAAGTCAGTAAATGCTTACAGATTCTTTGGTTTAAGTATCTCTTGCAGGAGTTGCATGTGTCTTCTCCAGTGTACAAAGTGTCAAAGCTGCATGCACCTCTTTACGTCAACATGAATATAAAGATGTGCTTGAGCATGCAGGTATAGTTTACACATGTTTATCAAGAACGATCCATGCTTCTGGCTGTGCTTCACTGACAGCCACAGGAAAACATGCAGCTTGTTATTTACAACGTGAAAGAAAAGCAGGACAACTTTAAGTTCTTGACCCATGATTAAAGTAACACGTCTTCCTTGTTCCTCCTGTTGCTGTTTCCATGAAACTAGGAGAGAACATAGAAACCGCCATGGGCTGAATGTAGTTTCACATCTGCAAAAATAATAATAATAAAATAAATAAATAATAACAATAACATCTTGCAGTTTAGTACTGAAACCATTTAATATATGATGAGAAAAAAAGTTAATTTAAGGTAATTTCCTTAAATGATAAGGACACCTGTTGTTTAGTAGATTGGGCCAACTTTGTGTCACAGCTTTCATAATTAGACATAAATTATCATAAACTTTTAAGAAATATCTAATGACATTCCTAATATAAAGTTTTTTTTATATATATATATATATACATTCTTTGAAGAAAATAGGTTGTCCCCATGCGTTTATGACTTGAACATGGACATTAAATGATTAAAAAAAAAAAAAAAAAGAATAAAAACAATTCTGACACTTTTATTATATTGCTTCAATGAGTTCATGAGATATTTTGCTAACAGGGCAAACAGTGTTGATTTAGTTTAGTGCAACAATGTTGTTCTATGTGAAATGCTCAAAATGTGTTGGTTACAATACACAGCTGCTACCACACCCATTCTTTGATTAATATTTGTAAAATTGATTCAGTTATAGGAATTTTATGTTTGCAAAAGTTAGATGTGGTGGCCATCTTTACTGAGACTGACTCCAAAAGTTAATTGGTTGTAGATGTACATCCATTGATTACTTTTACTAGATATTACTGGAGTTTTAATAAAATTGGTGCACTGGTTCATGAGGTTTGTCGCTAACGCTAAAGGCAAAAAAAGCCACACATCAACACACGGTCTGACACACATGCACAATTTAAAACATCATCGTTGCTTCACCTTTGGCAAGTAGGCAATTATTAAAGGATAGTAGAATTAACAATGCACATTCTTTAACACTGCCTGGAGAGGATTTTACAAATATTAACCTGCAATATTTGTCGGTTTCTTTTGATTTTACAGGATTCACACACTTGGAGCGTCTTTGAGTTACTGTGGTCACACCCACGGCAAATTAACAGGAACCATAATAGTCGTACGACTACATGGGATTAAAAAGCATAAAAGACTAAAGTTTTGACTTGTGCATCCATCCAGTTACTTAACCCTTTTTTCTCCACTTAGGGTGGATTCCAATGAAATCTTAGGTCTGAAGCTCCCCAACATCGAACCGATCCTAAATGCCAACACCGTGTGTCTGACGCTGCCAGGGCTGACACGACGCCAGCTGGAAGTGTGCATGCGCAATCCAGATGTGACGGCTTCAGCAATCCAGGGAATCCAGATTGCCATCCATGAGTGTGAGCACCAGTTTAGAGGGCACCGCTGGAACTGCTCCAGTCTGGAGACCAGAAATAAAATACCCTACGACAGCATAGTCTTTAAAAGAGGTAAATACAGACTATATTTTGTCATATCAGTGATCAATGGGTCCTTCAAAAAAATTTTTTTAAATTATACATGCAACATTTTTGCCAACTACCATGTGCATATCTACAGAAATGCCAAAGTGACTGAAACTATGTCAAATGTTAAACTTACCAATAACAGAAGTTGGGAAACTGTTGCTTATGGTTGAATGGCGAGCTTGTCTGCATAGCACTCCACTTTTCTACTTGTTCCCTCGACGAGGGTTTAATTCATTCTTTTTTGTCCACATTTAGCAGCAGATTCACTCCTATAATTTTGTTTTAATCACCTAATGAATGTCAATCCTGTGTCTCAGATTTGCATGTGCATTTTTGACAGATTCAGCCGTGTGCTTAGTTTACATTTCCCGTTGACCCACTTAAATGACAATGAGATTGTTTAAGGCTTCAGAGTTAAATCCCATCACAAGTTAATGGGCCAAAATTTGGTCTTCAATCAAACTGTGGTTTCCTCTTCTAACACACTTCAATGAAGCAGCTTGAAAGTGTTGGCTTAGAGAGAGATTAGCTGTCACAGCAATACAAAGGGTCCCAAATGATATTTAATATTATTTTATTATTCGGACAACTACATCCCAAACCATAGCGTCTATAGTTTCATGTCACAAAGTGTCCTCTAATGCTCTGGTTATTGCTAGTCACCCACCGACTGGTGTTCTCTTTCTAACCACCTAACCGCTGTTTCTCAATAACGTGCACAAAAGAGCAGATAAGTTCAAAAGAAACTAGTCACCTTCGGATTACCAAACCTCATGCAGATCAGTTTTCGGATGCTTTGTTGTGCTGGAAGCTTTGCAGGTTAGCCACAAAGGATGAAAGAGGATCTTTGGAGTTGAGAAGCCTTCGGATGGTCTCATCCCAGGTCAATAACTGGAATAGGCATCAATTTCTAAGTAGCCTGAGCACCTGGTTGGATGGAAGAACACCCAGTGTGGTTGGTAGTTTGAGTTGAAGTGTGCTTTCAGTTTTGAGAAGGTGAAGAAAAGTCCTCTGAATAGAAGATCTTTTGAGACTTTCATAAAATGTTTCGTTATACATCCGATTGGTACGGACTAAAGATAAATACCGGACAGCATCACCATAGCATTTTGAGATATTGGACACGATTTCTTGTTTTTATTTTACTGTATTATCAACGAATAGATAAATACAAGAGTTTGTGTTCTTGTGATTATAGGTATTACGTTTATAAAATATGCTGAAATCAATGCAAAAGAGTGCACATATTTTATTACTATAAGAACTTATGGATACTCCTAAAAAATAATGACCTGTTATACAGTAGCTCCTACCTACAGTATGCACAAAAACACTAGCATCGCAGCCTCATTTGGTGATTATATCCTATTACTAAAGTAAAACATTTGTATTACAGAATTTGCTGACACACCTCTGGTCTTCCTCTGCTCGTTACCGGCTCATTGAAAGGCTGTTTGTCATTATTAGCAAAGGCAGTTGCTGGTTGTCTGGCATCCCTGGTTTGCCCCGGGTGCAGAAACTCCAAACCACTGACATAAACAACCTCTTTAAATCAGATGAATCATCTGTTGCATGTTGATACGGTCCTTCCCACAGAAGCTCCAGAAAATAGATACAAGCTAACGTGTTGCGGACATCACTGTGTGGTGGGCAAAGGAGATGGGCAGTGCTTTCATCAAGTGATCCTTACAGACTTCGGTTATAGAATTCAAAAGTTTTGGTACATTTTGTACAAGTTTATTTTTGGTATTTGAAATTATCTGTAGCATAAAATGTATCCAATTAAGCTTCCATATCTGGAACTATGTCAGGTCATACTGTTTTGTTTTGATTAGTTTCAGGTGCACTATTTATGTAAATGTCAGTTTCTTCATTAGATACTGCTTTGATTCTCTGGATATGGTTCATATTTCTTTATTGATAGTCTCTGATGATTATTTGGGGTGCCTTTGTGTTCATTCCTGCTCAGCTCGCAGTAACAACTTGGATCAAAATGAATCAAGGCAAGACGGGGATAGACAGAAATAAGCAAATCGGTCCATCTCTTGCTGTCAGTCTATCTTTCATTTTTTCCTCTCCCGATCTGTCACTGGGCTGCTCCTAATGCTTTTTACTTCCCTTGCCAATGCAAGTACTTGTGAATTTGCTCTCAGCACTTTCCCAACTCTCAGAGGCAAAAGCATAAACCTGTTTAGTTGGTTTCTGTAACACAAAGTGACAGTTTCCGTTGAATCTTTAATTCATTTTGCCACTTCCTCTGCCATCAGTTCAGCCGGGCGTGCCGCACCCAGTGAATTATTTGTTAGATTGATTTGTTTCCACTCTTCCAGGGACTTGTGATGAGGAGCCCAGAAGTTAGCGGGCCAAGAGCTAAAACAGACTTTCTGTTTTGAGGGGTGTACCTGAGAGCCATCTCTCCTGTCCCACCTGCTGCTCAAGGTGATAGAGGCGAGGCAGCAGGTTGGATATCAGTCAGTTTTATATAATGGCCAAGTCAAATGGTCTAAAACAAGCTCCATCCAACCATTTTGCTCATGTCACTTTTAAAGGTGACATGTTGATGCTGGGTATGTGTCATGTTGTCACTGGCTCGTGCTGATACTTGTGATGATGCCAATCTGCTCTTTTGCAGTTTGATGATCAACACAAGCATCTTTGTGTTTTCTAAGATCAAATTGATTGTGGTAGCAATTTTACTACTCCAAAGGTTTATCAATTGTAAATGTCAGCATAGTGATTTTATTTTATAAACCTTGTATTACAATCCCCTTAATTATTCAATAAATAATGTTTTAATGGTACAGAAAATCTGACACACAGAGACAAAAGGAGCTAGAGCTGCGAGCAGTTATTACCATGGTCCAAGTCACTTGACGCATGTCAACCTATTCTCATTCCAAGCACTCCTTCAACTTTGTGAACAACACACTTGAAATTTGATTATTAGACAATAAAGGGTCTTAATGAAGATCTAAGGTCTAAACTGCTTTTTTTTCCCTTTTGCCAAAGCTGTAATTATCTTTCTTTTTCTTAAGCTTTTCCATTTCCATGGGTCTCCACAGAGAGTCATCCTCCTCCATCTATGTCCTCTGCATCCTCTGTCCTCACTCCAACTACCTCCATGTCCTCTCTAACTGCATCCATACATCTCCTCTTTGTCTTTTTTCCTGGCAGCAGCATTTGCATCACCCTTCTACCAATACATCCAATGTCCTCTGGAAGTGTCCAAATCATATCAGTCTGGAATCTACTGTAACTTTATCTCCAGGTCCTTCAGCCTCTGCTGTATCTCTAATCTCATTCATATTCTTCTCCATATTTTTCACTCCCAAGAAGAACCAAGAAGAACCTCAACATCGTCAGTTCTGCCACTCCCAGGAATTTCTTATGTCTTTTAATCAATCCTACTGGTCAAATTATTCATTTGTACTTTTTGTTTTTCTTTTGAGGTTTGCTGTCACCATTTTGTCACAAATCACACCTGAAGCGTTGCATTCCATCCTGCCTGGACTCTCTTCTTCACATCTTCACCATACTCCCTGTTTTCCTAGACAGTTGGGCCCTAAGTTCTTGAAGTCCTGCTCCTTTGTCACCTCTGCTCCTTGTACACTCACTGTTCCATATGCCTCCTTCTCACTCACACTCATGTCTTTCAACAGCTATCATTTCTCTTCTTTCAAGTGCATACCTTCACCTCTTTAAATTCTCTTCCACTTGTTCCCTGTTCTTACCATAGAGCATTATGTTGTCTACAAACATTGTAGTCCACATGGATTTCTGTTAGACTGTCCATTACCAGAGCAAATAAACATTAGGCAAAGACTCAATTCATAATGCAGTCCCTCCTTCACCTTGAAGCACACACACACTCACACATTTAGATCTGCCATTCACTATGACCACTGGGGGAGTCTCCCAGTTTCAATATGAAATCTCCAGTCCATACTGAGCACATATGTTCCTAGCCTAACCAAGCAGATGGAATAGTTTCCAGGAAAATCTGTGCTCAGTCTGGGTAATGTAATACTTTAAAAAATAAAATTTGTCATTTTATTAATGTGTTCACAATTTTTAAATCTCACTAACTCCACCGACAGCAACAAGTGGTTCACAAACATTCCCTGTCGCTGAGGGGCTTGAATAGAGAATTCTTGTAATTTTTGAGGTGAGTGTTTTACTGGACTGTATTTTGACATGGCAACACAATTTTGAAAGAAACCTATAGGTCATGGGTGCCCACACTTTTTCACCATGCGAGCTACTTTTAAAATGACCAAGTCCAAGTGATACAAAACATATACTTATTTATAAACATATTAAGTATGCTTTTTATGTTTTACGTTCTTATTTTACGTTCTTGTTTAAGTATTTTACCATATTTTATATGGCACCTTGGTTTATTGTTTTATAACACTACTTTTGTTTTAATTGCATTTTACCGTAGTTTATTGTTGTCTGTACTTTACATGTTGTCTGTCTAAAACAGGTCTCTATTGTAAATGAGTCCTTGTGACTCAATGAGACTAACCTGTATAAATAAATGTTGAATGAAAGAATAAGTCCCAACTCGGTGTGAACGCAACATAAATGGCAAAACCCAAAAGTCTGTTTAAAAAAAAAGTGACAATTTATTTTTACTGCCCGTGTACAAAACGATAAACAAAACCCAGCAATAACTTATGTTCTTCACATCTTGATAAGATAGAAAAGTGCTATATAAGTACAGAGAGAGAGAGAGAGCATTACCATCAGGACATTTATATAGCTGCAGATTCCATATGACTGTAAATACAAATATTCCAGTTCTTACTTTAATGGTGTGTAATTTTACTGGAATATCATTTCCCAACATCCATCCATCCATTATCTTTACCCGCTTATTCCATTTTGGGTCACGGGGGTCGCTGGTGCCCATGTCCAGCAATCACTGTGCGAGGGGCGGGGTACACCCTGGACGGGTCGCAAGTCCATCACAGGGACAC